TCGTAGTAGTAGTAGTAGTAGTAGTAGTAGTAGTAGTAGTAGTAATAGGAACAGTAGTCGTAGTAGTCGTGGTAGTCGTAGTAGTCGTAGTATAGTAGTAGTAGTAGTAGTAGTAGTAGTAGTAGTAGTAGTAGTAGTAGTAGTAGTAGTAGTAGTAGTAGCACTACTAGGAGTAGTAATAATGGCAGTAGTGATATTAGTCGTAATAGTAATAGTCGTCGTCGTAGTCGTGGTCGTTATAGCTGCAATAGTAGTCGTAGCAGCAGCAGCAGTAGTAGCAGTAGTAGTATTAGTAGTAGTAGCCCCCACACCTCCCCTCTTGCATCGCGATCTGTCAATCCTTCCCCCCGTGTCCATCATTTCGTCTTAATTTGATCTTCTCATTCCTGCGCTCCTGCGCCACCGTGCGGGGGGCGGGGGCATTGGCATGCAAGGCCCCGCGCGGTGAGGCAGCCTCCTGCATCCGTCAGCAAGCTCAGGATCTCGCGCATCACAGCGCTGCGCCCTGCACCCCGCTCGCTGTTCCTCCTGCTCCTCCTCGTTCTCCTCCTCCTCCTTCTCCTCCGCCTCCTCCCCCTCCTACTCCTCCTCCCTCTCCTCCTCTGTCTCTCCTCCTCATCCTTGTCCTGTCATTTACGTCATGGCTTCACTGACATATCCTATCCCGGCCCCGTGCCGTGCACACCTGGAACGAAACCCGAAAGGTTGGCAACTCGCCCAAGTCGAACCCTCGTTGGATCCATCGAGCCTCCCTGGGGATGTTGTGGATGCCCAAGAAGCCTCATGGTCCGAAGTTTGGGATGGGCAGTCGGGGTCCCCCGATACTAAGGAGAGCTTATGTGGAGGAGATATTAGGTTACAAGGTGATCATCGGGACCTACTAAACGTGGACCTGGGTTACCACCACTTGCCTCAGCTGAACTCCGTCATGCTGCAAAACAATTCCCTGTGAGAACTGCCGTGAGCTCCGAGCTATTCCGACATCACCATTGGGAGCAGATTTCGAATGCTGGGCTCTCCGTGCTTAGCTATATGATTGTTCTGTGTGAAACGTGGGGAGCTTGGCCGCGCTTGCTTACCCACGTCCACATCGTCTTGCTTCCGAAGCCGACAGGAGACTACGTACTCCAGATTTCGCCATAAAAGGGAGGGGGTCACGAACCTCACAGACGGGCAATTCCAGACCCCCCCAAACAAGCCATGAAGGGCGGCGTTTTGCCCAGACCCACTGGAACCCTCCAAGACGGCTCAAATCTGACCCCATCCCAAATCAGACCACCCCCCTTTTATTGTGAAATCTGGAGTACCCATATCGCTGTTGTCATCGGTATCTACATTGTGGGGAAAGACATGGGTGCAGTGGGCACGGGCCCGGGCGATAAAGCTGCAGAGGCCGTTCCTTGCGCTGGGCGCTCAGCGCTCCACGACGGACGTCGCCGCCAGAGTTTCAGGTGCAGCCGATGCCTCGGCCACCAGCAGCCCCGACGACGTGGCAACAGTGCGTGCACTGATTGGCACCGAGAAATGCGTTGACCGATATGTGTGTGGAAAATCTTGACTGGGGCTGCTGTGGCGCATACTCTCCCCGGCCCGCTTCTAGTGCTAGCTCTACGTATGCACAAGATCCCCAGGAGGCTGTCATGGGACGCATGGTGTTCCAATCCCGTTTGGGCCACTCGTGGGGCGTTGCCTTGGTGTGCTTTTGCTATGTTCTGCTTGCAGCAAATCATGCTCATCCCGTTGGACCCATACGGAACAAAGTCCTCGGGACATGAACCTGTACGCGGATGATATCGCGATTGGGGTCTCACGTCTGATGAAGTCCGTTATTATCATGGCTACTAAGGTTCCCAGTCTTGTAGTAAGTGCTCTTCAGGGCCTTCGGCTGCCTCCAGCTAAACACAATATGTGGGTGACCTCCAGTTGGCAGACGCCATGTCCGACGCGTGCTCGACTTCTGGGCCGTGGGCGGCGCATTCCTTGCAAGTATGGCCTGGACGACAGAGGTTCACTGCTGCGCTCCTTCTGTGGCAACTCATGGGAGCCTCCCATACCATCCTGCTGGCTCTGACGAATCGACGATAACCGACGCTAATCGATGCTAGACGACGCTAAATCGATACTACATCGACGCTACATCGACGCTAATCGGCGCTAAATCGACGCTAAATCGGCGGTTTCTCATCGATCGCCAGATGCTAGCGCACGCCGGTGCACTCTGAAGATGGAACTGCGAGAACATGCACGGCTTCCACGAGTTGCTACCGAACGGCTCTGCCTTGGCCTCGACGCGCCTCGCCTCCAAGTTCTCGACCCGCCCGCCCATCGACCAGGTCCGTAGCCTTCTTGTCCGTTACGTCTGGCGTGCATGAGCTGAAAGCGTCCTGCCAGTGGTGCGACTGCTGATGATGGCCCCGCCTCTATCCGCACCTTGTCCGCTTTGACAGATTGACGGTGTCGGACAAGCTAGATGCACGACAGCCGAAATCCATGCGTGAGTACGACGTGTGCCAGAAACTGACGCTGTTTAGACCCGCGTGCGCAGGTCCAAGCAGTTGCATCCACTATCGCTGCGGACTCCTGGTCTGCGTCTGCGGATATGTTTCTGCAGCCCCCGCTAACGACTGGACAAAGATCTATCCAGCGGCTGCACCCACGATGTGGTGCGAAGCTTCAGCAAGAACCCATGAGCATGCAGAAGGGCAAAAGCGAACTTTCCGGAAGAAACTGGAAGCCGACTCATTACAGAAATGAACTGGCCAGACGTCCGCCAAAAACGGATGCGGGAAGGGGGTTAAGGACGGGGCGGGGGAGGCGGAGGAGAGGGAAGGATGGAGGAAAGCGGGCGGGAGGGAAGGAGGAGGACGAGGTGGCGTACCAAGACGCCGAAATCGAGGAGTGGGCAGCCCAGAGCAGGATGATCTAGAGAGGCATGAGCGGGCGCCTATGAAGTCCTCCACGCGTGGGGGTAGGGCGCAGGCCTCGCGCAGGGATGAGAAGGGGAGGACGGCATGAGCAAAAGGAGCGCAGTGGCGGGTCGGATCAAGAGCAGGAGCATGAGGAGAAAGCGACCAGCGCACATAGCGGGGAGAGTGCGGAAGAGAGCTTGAAATCTGAGCTGGGGAGAAATTGAAAGAAATGGAGAGAGGGAGCATCGGGGAGTGCGAGCTTGCGTGTGTGAGCCTGCGAGTGTGAAGGAGGGTAGGAGAGGGAGTGCGACGTGATTGTCGTGTGGACGTGGAAGTGAGGCTGAAGAAAAATGAGCGCGTCAATGCAACTAAGGAGCCGTGTGGAAGCGAGAAGAAGGATGGCGGGGCAGAAGACGACTGGAAAGGTGAACGCGGTGGCGAGAGCAATAGGAAGGGCGATGGTGCAAATGAAGATGGTGAGAGGGGCAAGCGGGACCGAGTTGAATGAGATGAGACTTGAAGCGTAGTAACATCGAACGCATGACGAAGAAGACGCGCACCGAGAGCCCAGGAGTGTGTGCACGTGTTCACTAGGCAAAGAAATGTACTCGGGAAGGAGTGGTAGTCACAAGCACCCACAGGCTTGCCAAGCGAGGCTCGCGACAGCTATTGCTTCGGTGCCCACCGTTACGAGCGGCGCTGGGGAAGCTCCACGCTGCAAAGAAGCGACGGGAAAGTGGGAAAGGCCACAGCACGCGACAAATGTCAGCAATACAGTCGACCTTAGGCCAGAAGAACATCCTTCAAGAACATGAGACCCTCCGCCGGTCAAGACACGCAGAACATTCCAACAAGCACGAAGACATCGAGGACACATTCCCCGAACCGACCTCGACCGTATCACACGGTCCGATTGCAGCAAGCTGGATGATTGCCAAAAGCACGAGACGCAACCACACTCTGCACCACTGCCATTGGATGCGCGACCGCACGCCTGCTCGCGCCTGGGCGAGGTGAGCAGTGCACGACGGGCGCACGTGCAGTGTCACCAGTGGGAGAGAGCCACGAAATAGCCACCATCGTGTACCACACTTCCTCCCTCCACCTCCTCCTCATCCTCCTCGTCCTCCAACTCCTTCTCCTCCTCCTCGTCCTCCACCTTCCTCCCGCCTCCGCCCTCCGTCCTCCATCTCCCTCCGCCTCTCCCTCAGAGCAACACAGCACACCAGCCCGCCGTCTGTGGACGCCGCACCCGGCCAGCTCAGCTCGCGCAGCTAGACTGCGCCGCCACCCTCGCCCCCGCCGCCTCCCCCCATTCCTACCTCCCTCGCTCCTCCCCCCATCCCTGCCTCCCTACCTCCCTCGCTCCTCCCCCGTCTTCCCTCCTCCCCCGCTCGTGGGCCCCAGCCTGGCGGGCCAGCGCGCCGTGCCTGGAGTGCAGCGCCACCTCCTCGGGGCAGAAATCCTGGGGGGGGTAGGAGCGGGGGCAGCGAAGCGGAGTGCGGGGGCCGGGGTGCGGGGATTTGACCATATCCACCGCCTGGGAACCGACATCCTAGGGGGCCCAGCGGGCGGTGGATGTGGACGTAAATTGGCCCCCAGGGGCCAACATATATCCAAGTCCACCGCCTTCGGAGGTCAGCGAACCTTTATCATCCAGGCGGTGGATATACATCTTTTATATAAATCAATAAATAAATAAATAAAACCATAAATATATATTTATGTGTGTGTGTGCATGTGCATATGTGCGTGCGCACGTGTGCACACATACATACATATAGACATACATGCATGCATGCATGCATGCATGCATGCATAAATACACACATACATACATACATACATACATACATACATACATACATACATACATACATACATACATACATACATACATACATACATACATGTGTACAGATGTACATGCATGCATGCATGCATGCGTGTATGCATGCATACAGCTATATATATATATATGTGTATACATACACATGCAAGCATGCATACATGCAAGCGCAACACATACACGCACGCACGCATGTGTGCATACAAACATAGACTCATACATACATGCATGCGTACATATATATATATATACATATACGCATGCATGCATGCATGCATGCATGCATGCAGCAACACGCACATGCACATGTATGAATGTGTGCATACACACATGCCGACATGCTTCCCAACATACATAGATACCGAAATATAAAAATGCAGAAATACATCCAAACACATACGTACATACATGCAGACATGCACGCATGCATACATACATACATGCAGCATGTGTCCATATGTGCGCACCAGCATGCACACACACACACACACACACACTCATACAGAAATGCATACATACATGCATGCATACCTGCATGCATGCAGACGTGCAATCATGTATACATGCATACATAAATGTATGCATACACACCTGTATCCATACATAGATACATATTCATACATGTGCGTACATGCAAATACATGTACATGCACGTGTTCATATACATCTACATAACCATGTACATATACATAAGCATTCCTACATGCATACCTACATACATACAGGCAGACATGCATGTATGCATACGCACAGACAAACATACATACGTGCATGCATACATGCATGCATGTATGCATACATGCATATATGTCGGCGTCGCCCCGTGGCACGAACCCCCCCTTCCAATACGACCTGGGGGGTTCGTGCAGGCCGCACCAGGCGCCGCCGACGGCTCAGAACCTCCCCCCTCTGTCCCTTTACTGGGTGGGTTCGCGCAGGCCGCACTGGGGGGGGGCTTCGACCTGGACCCCCCCCCCTGTGGGAGTGGGCGGGTGGGAATGGGGGGCGGGGGTGGGGCGGGGATGCGGGCGGGGTGGGGGGAGGAGGAGGACGAGGAGGACGAGGAGGAAAGGAGGAGGAGGAGGTGGCAGCGCTGTTGTCGACATTGCTGGGCACATGGCAACAGGAGGCAGCTGCAACTCCCGGGTGGGCCACCTGCCCTGGACGACGTTCCGGAGCCTCATAGGAAGTGTCGATGGAACGGCCGCGTACAGAAAAGCTCTGCCGCATTGTTCCGGCACGTCCTGGGGGCGGTCACGCATCCGCCAGGCGGATGTTCGTGCATATCAGGGGGGTCCCTGCATACCAGGGGGTTCGTGCTTACCGGTGGGGTTCGTGCCAGCTACCCGGGGGGGTCGTGCTTACCGGGGGGGGTTCGTGCCGGCTGGCACCGGCGGTGCTGCCAGCTCGAAGCCCTCCAGGATGGAGTCCCACCAGCCCTTCGGGCGTGAGTGGTTTAGAGAGCCCGCTCTGTTCTCAACCCCCTTCTTCCCCTTCGGGGAGGGGTTTACCCCTCCCCCTACCCCCTCCCCCTGGGCCTGGAGAGGTCGTTTCGCGGGTCGTTGGAGGGGTCTTTTTCGACTCCTGGGAGGGCTAAAATTCGACACCCCTCACGAGGATCGTGGCCCCGACGGGGGGAGGGAGAAAAATGCTCGCCCCATCTGTGATCGATCGCCCGAAAGATGGCCCCAAGATACCTCCCAGACCCCTCCCAAAGAGCCCCAAGAGGCCCCAAGAGGCCTCCAAGAGGCCCCCAAGATGCCCCCAAGAGGCCCCCAAGAGGCCCCAAGAGGCTCCCCCGAGGCACCCAAGACGCTCCTGGAAGCCCCTGGGGCCGCCAAGAGGCCCCCAAGACGCCCCAAACGGCCTCCAAGAGGCTCCCAAGAGGCCCGAAGAGGCTCCCCCAAGGCACCCAAGACGCTCCTAGAAGCCCCTGGGGCCGCCAAGAGGCCCCCAAGACGCCCCAAAAGGCCTCCAAGAGGCTCCCAAAAGACATCCCAAGAGACTCCGCGATGCATCCAAGAGGCCTCTGGCCCTTCTGCTCGTCCTCTCCTCCTCGTCCGCCTCCCCCTCTTCCTCCTCCCTCCTCCCCTCCCCCAGCTCCTCCTCCGATTCCTCCTCCATCCTCCCCTCTTGGGATATGGCGGCATCCCCTGTCCTTCGTTCCTCTGTATGCTCCCACACTTCCCTGATCGAATCAAAGCAACTCCTCTGGGCATCATTGCTGAAAAGATTACCAACAAATCCCGACAGTCGGTACTCTTTGCTAAAGTGGCTGTTTTAGGATGGGCTGGTGGGGATTCGCGAAGCGTGAACAACTTACTGGGGGGGTCGCCCCACACCGGGCACCGCCGACATTATATATATACACACACACTCGCCGACCTACCGACCTACCTACCTACCAACATACATACATGCATGCATGCATACATACATAAATTACAGTACGGTTCATTACATGGCATGACAATTCATTACACTACGCTAGATTACGTTACAGTACATTACATTACGTTACATTACATTATATTACATTACGTTACACTATACTACATTACATTACAGTACACTACATTACCATACAATACATTGCATTACATTACATTACGTTACATCACATTGCATTGCATGACAATGCATTACATTACATAACATAAAACATACATACGTGCATGCATACATATATACACACATACATAAATACATACATGATTGTATACATACATACACACATGCTCCCCATTCGTGCCATACTTCTGTGTCTCATGTCGCAGGCAGGAAGGCAACCGCAAGCAGACAAAGAAACGAACACACCGGGGGCAGAACAAAACAGAGGAAGGATAGCTGGAGAACACATATGTCAGAGCACCCTCCCCCTGTTATTCCTCCTCCTCCTACTGCTCCTCCGTCCTCCTCCTCCTCCTGCTTCTCCTCCTCCTCCTCCGCCTCCTCTTCCTCCTTTCACAGTGGGGCTCTCTCACCTTGGCGCCGCGAACACGCGTCCTGAAAAAACGGCCGATATGCGGACGAGAGCAGCGATCTCTCAAAATGAGGCTCTCTCCGTGGCGCAGCGCATCTTCGTCACACACACAGACCTGGGAGGAGGAGGAGGAGGAGGAGGAGGAGGAGGGGGAGGAGGGGGAGGAGGGGGAGGAGGGGGAGGGGGAGGAGGAGAAGGAGGAGGAGGAGGAGGAGGAGGAGGAGGAGAAGGAGCAGGGAGGAGAAGGAGGAGGGGGAGCTTGCCCGCGACTTCCCGAAACCATCCGCACGGCACAGTGCAGCAGTTCCACGGACGGAGGGCGGCTCCTTTTTCACAGTGGGCGACTTTCCTCCTCCTCCTCCTCCTCCTCCTCCTCCTCCTCCTCCTCCTCCTCTCCTCCTCCCTCTCCTCCTTCTCCTCCCCCTCCTCCTCCTCCTCCTCCTCCTCCTCCTCGTCCTCCGCGACTTTTTCTTACGAACAGAAGTCTAAGACGATGAAGCGGCTACACGGGCAAGGAGCGGCTCCGTTTCGAGATGAGGTCGTCGCCAGGTATGTCCTCGAAATTGACGGCTCTTCCTTCTCGCGTTCCTTAAGGGCGGATTCCGAGAAAACGAAGCTCCATCCTTACTCGCGGGCCCATGGACCGCTCGTCTATCACGCGGGCGCTCCGCCAAGTGAAAACGAATGCTCGCAGGAGCTAATGAGGGGGGGGCTTGTGACGGGAGGGTGTACTGCAGCATCGTTGATGCATCTCGGGTTTACCATGCCCCTCCTCCTCCTCCTTCAGATCCTCCTCCGACTCCTCCTTCTTCATCCCTCTTCCTTACCTTGTCGCACCGCCTGACGCGTCGGTAGGGCAAGCTTGTCGTTTCGCATTAGGTTTCCCCCCACCCACACACACACACACAATGCTTGCAATAGTGTAGCACTCATTGCGTTCCTCTTGGACTTGCTGGCGTTTCTGGGACTTCGCCCAGTGGCCGCCAGTTACCTGGCCCCGCTAGCCTCTTCAGCCTTCAGGGGACAGGGAGGAAATCCCTCCCCTTCCTCATCATCATCGTCAGCATCATCGTCATCACCAGCATCAGCATCAGCATCAGCATCATCAGCATCATCATCATCAGCAGCAGCAGCCGCAGCAGCATCCGCATCAGCATTATCATCATCCTCATAATCGTCATAATCAGCATCAGCATCATCATCATCATCAGCAGCATCATCATCAGAATCATCGTCATAAACATCATCATCAGCAGCACCATCGTCATCATCATCGGCATCATCATCATCCTCATCAGCATCATCATCGTCATCAGTATCATCATCATCATCATCATCATCATCATCATCATCATCATCATCATCATCATCATCATCATCATCATCGTCAGGATCATATTCATCGTCGTCGTCATCAGCATCATCGTCACCACCGCCATCAACATCATCAACATCATCAGCATCATCAGCATCCTCGTGATCACCATCAGAATCACCTCATCGTCATCATTACCATCAACATAATCAGCAGCATCAACATCATCAGCATCATCACCACATTCCTCATCAGCATCATCATCATCCCCACCATCATCACCACCATGATCATCACTATCACCATCGTTGTCATCGTCATCCTTAGAAGTAGAATCTTCATCCGCATCATCATCAGCAGCATCACAATCATCAGCAGCCTCATCATCGCCATCATCGTCATCGTCATCGTCATCGTCGTCGTCAGCATCATCATCACCACCACCATCAGCATCAGCAGCAGGATCATCATCATCATCATCATCATCATCATCATCATCATCATAGTCACCATCGTCATTCGTCGTCGTCATCATTATCATCATCATCATCATCATCAGCAGCAGCAGCATCATCAGCATCATCATCATAATCATCATCATCATCACCATCATCATCATCAAAGTCATCACCATTGCACGGGCGTTCTTCCTCCTCCTCCTCCTCCTCCTCCTCCTCGAGGCCGACCGCGGCTACAGAGAAGAGACCGGCCGGAACCGACCCCGCCTGCGCAGACGCATCGCCGTCCAGTGTGGCCTCTCTCTCGAGCTTGCTGAGGGTCGTGGCGTTGGCACCGCGCTGCCCGAAGAGCACGAACTGGTCCGCGCTCTTCGTCAGCTGCGGGTTCTGGTCCACCCTGAGAACCTGCCTGGCGCTCTCCCAGGAGGCCAGGACGGACTGCTTGGAGCCCAACGCGTAATAGAACTGCTGAGTGAAGGTGCTCGCCGCGAGGTCCGAGACCTCGCCGTCTGCACGCAAGAGTGACCCCTGGCCGACCCGACCTGTGGCGCGCGGCTGTGGGGGAGCGGCAAATCCAGGCAGATTGGAAGCCAGCCAAGGCCGTCGTGGGCCTCCTTCGGAGCTTCCTGGGGCCCTCTTCTGGGGCTATGGGGGTGTGGACCGCGGGCCCGCAGGTCACTCCGGCGAAGCGTCACTCTTACGCGTGCAGCCATCGTGCTGCCAGAAGGAACGAAGGGGTTTCTCTGGCCACGACGGGCCCATACCATCAGCAGGCTCCACGGCGCAAACCTCAGGAACGGCCCGCAAACCCGAGCCCCTGCGGATCCCCAAACGGTCCTTACTTCGGCGCCTTGACTGTAGCCGGCCTCGTCCCGTGTCGCGATCACGTGCCGGACCCCGGACTCCACCAGCAGCTGCGCCAGCCCCTCGGACCAGCAGCTGTTGAGCACCACCAGGCCCAGGCCGTCCAGCTGGCCCTGGCCGCCGCCGCTCAGCAGCTCCTCGGGAGGAGGATCGGCGGCCACGGCAGGGGGTTGGGGCCGGGGTGGACAGCGCAGGGGCGGGCATCACACGTATTCGCCGGGGGGGCCTCGTCGAAAACAGGGACCATCGGCGCCCCTGGACACATGGCCGGCTCCACAACTAACCTCTGAACCCCAGAAGCATTGCCACCTCTTGGGGGCACATCGTTTGGTTCCGCCGGCTTCCGAAACCTTCCGCCGGCTTCCGCCCAGCCTTCCGCGGGATTCCGCCAGCGCAGGCGGCCTCGCTTTGCTTCGCGGGTCTCGGCCTCCCTTCCGCCGCCTTCCGCCGAGAAAGAGATGGGAACTCCTTTCATCCTCGAAGGCGAGGCCCTGTCTGACACGCCTCACATGTATTGCTGCGGGGACAGCCAGCCACCACAAGCATATCGAAGACACACTCTGGGGATCCCTTGCGCATGCCGAAACTTGTCTGAACACCGACACCAGCTTCGTTCTGACTGTGGTCGATGTGACGTCCCAGGTCGGCCAAATCGACCACAACCACAATCAAAGTATGTATGTCGAAGTCGTTGGGTTCCCCCCGAGGCGCCAGCGGCAGCGCGCGCCGCCCGGGAGGGCCGCGAGGGCGGAAGCTGCCGACGTCGGGGGGGACTCCTCCGTGCCTCCTCCTCCTCCTCCTCCTCCTCCTCCTCCTCCTCCTCCTCCTCCTCCTCCTCCTCCTCCTCCTCCTCCTCCTCCGCCTCCTCCTCCTCCTCTCCTCCTCCTCCTCCTCCTCCTCCTCCTCCTCCTCCTCCTCCCCCATCCTCCTCCTCCTCCTCCCCTTGTGGACCCTTTCTAACTAAGCGCCGAGGGTCGTGCGGGGGAGGGGGGAGGGGGGGAGGGAGGCCGCACGCGACCCCGACCGGGAGAGCCACGACACGGGCGGGACCCATGCCGCACCGCACCCCGCGAGGCTGGAGGGGGGAGGCTGGAGGAAGGAGGAGGAGCAGGAGGAGGTAAGAGGGAGGAGTGGGAGGGGGGAGGGAGGAAGCTAGAGGGAGGAGGCTGGAGGGAGAGGGGAGGAGGAAGGAGGGCGGAGGAGATGAAAAGACAGGACCGGCATGAGGGAGGAGACTGAGGGGAGGTGGAGAAGGCTGAAGGCTGGAGGATGGCCGCCGCCACTGCGGCAGCTCCTCCAGCTGCGGCCTGTGCAGGAAGTGCGGCCCGCCGTGCCCGTTCTCGAGAACCAGGCTCGGGCCTCATCGGGGAGGAGGGCCGAGGATCAGGGAGGACAGGGGAGGAGGAGGAGGAGGAGGAGGAGGAGGAGGAGGAGGAGGAGGAGGAGGAGGAGGAGAGGGGCAATGGAGGGGAGGAGAGAGACCACCAGGAGGAGGAGGAGGAGGAGGAGGAGGAGGAGGAGGAGGAGGAGGAGGAGGAGGAGGAGGAGGGGGAGGAGGACGCAGGATCGAGGGGCCAGGCTCGGGCCTGCGCCCTGCAGGAGCACCACGTGCGCGGAGAGGTGGAGCAGCAGGCGGGCCCCGGCCCTCGCCAGCGTCAGCAGCTGCGCCTGGAGTTGGCTGCGGGGCCACAAGGAGCGCTTCCACGACGCCCGCGCTCCTGGCCTTCGTTCCCCTCGCCATCGCTCGGACGTCCATTCCCTGTGTTTTTGTTCGGTTTCGTGCGCGGTTTTTCGCCAAATGATCAAGGATGCTCCTCGATGGTCCTCGCCGAAAGAAAAATGCACACGTCCGAGCGATGCCAGGTCTGGGGCGTCTCGTTCCGGGACAGCACTGCGCAGAGATCGCCACGAGAGCGGAGCGGCTGAGGAGCGGCACGAGAACGAAACTGGAGCGAAACTGGAACGGAAGTGGGACGTCCCACCGCTGATGCAGAGGAGCATAGAACGACAGTGTAACGAAGACGCCTGTCTCATCCTGAGGAGAAGAAACAGCGGCATAAGCATGAAACTAACGGATAACAGTGACATGAGCAGAAATAACACGTTTGGAATAAACAATGACACAACCATAAACTGTCGGAGCTCCGCGCGGAGCTCCGAGATAGGCGGCGCGCCCGGGGGGGAGAAGAGAAGGGGCGGGCCTTCTCAGAGGGCTCTCAAATTGGCCCCGGTCTTCTGAAAAGTGCTCGAAGCCATCCGCGACGACACAGAAAACTCCTCTGGAGGCCGGAGGGCTTCGGGCTTCTGAGTGGCCCCGCCGCCTTCCGAGGAGGCCTCGCTCGCCGCCGATGATGTTTACGCTGTTTTTTCGGAGGATGGCCTAGGGTCGGTGCACGCGCCCTCCCGGCTCGGCCCAGGGGGCAGGTGTCGGGCGCGTCCAGGGAGGGGGCCTCGCGAATCGTTGCGCAGGGCATGTGCGCGGACGACTGGGAGGGGGGGGGGGGACCAAGGGGCGCGCTGACACTAGAAGAGGCGCCACGACATCTGGGGAGATACCAGAGGAGGAGGAGGAGGAGGGAGGGAGGAGGAGGATGGGAGGAGGAGGAGGAGGAGGAGGAGAGGAGGAGGGAGGAGGTAGGAGGAGGAGGAGGGAGGAGGAGGAGGAACGAGGACGAGGCCCAGGGAGGAGGAGGGAGGTAGAAGGAGGAGGGGGCCCCCCTGGCCATGCTACCCCTCCCTGTGATGTCCCCATAACCCCTTTGGGAGCGGACCTGAGTTAGGAAAGAGGTCCACAACATCTGGGAGAGGGGGGTACACCATGCGAGATGCTTAAGAAATCATGCTCTGTTAAGAAATTCATAGTCTCAGAACTTGAATAAAAAAAACAACATTTCTATTAACATCTCAAGGTTTACATTGAAACGTTAAGCAAAATCGAGACTCTGGCCGAAAACTTAAGCTTTCTTAAGCATCGCCTAAAGTGTAGATCCAACCAAACCGCCCATTTCCATCATCCCCAACGCAAAAACGGGCACGTACGTTAGACTACGTCTTCACTGTGCTATCAAAGCTGGGCTCGCTTGACTCTCGATTACCCTGGTCATCATCCCCCTCTTGGCCGCCCCCGACTTTGCTCCAGTCCTGGCCCGGGGATTTTGGACGCCCGAAATGGATACGGAAAAAATGGGCACAATGCCCAACAACAAATGTTGTCCCAAACCAACAGCGGCTGCTGTTGGGCAGGCGGCCTTCTGTCTCGAATGCACACAGGCCGCGGCGGCGTGGACAGCGAGTCCTGTTCAAAATGAACAGGATCCGCTGTTGGGCATTGTACCCGTTCTGTCCGCGCCCATTTCGCTTGTGCAGAAGATCGGCCCCCGTGGCACAATTCTGTCTCCGCCCGGGCGCCAGCGACTTGGTGGTGGCCACGCCCACCCGGACCCGGATGCTGCACTGCGCTCTCCGCAGGGCATCGGCCAGCTGGTCCAGCTCGTCGCGTATCCTCGGCACGGGGCCGGCGGGCCCCTCGGCGGCAACTCGTGGGAGCCTCCCATGGCATCGTGCCGGCTCTTGCGAAATCGACGCTCACCGACGCGAAACGACGCTGATGGACGCTCATCGACGCTGAATCGACGCTGCATCGACGCTAATCGACGCTAAGCTGGCGCCTTCACGTCGATTAGCAGACGCTCATCGACGCTGGTGGCTGGTGCAATCTCAAGACGGAGTTCCGAGTACATACAAGACTCCAATGATGTGCCACCGAAGGGCCCTGCAGCTCCTGGACCCAGGTCCTTCCCCAGAACCAGCCTTCCATTCTGGGTCGTTTCTTGTCAATCCCAGGGCCCGTCGAGGGCGCCAGGGCGCTAAAAGCGACCAAGAGTCTCAGGACCCGGTTTCCCTCAGAACCCCTTTCATTGTAGAAGATGCCTCCCATGTACCAGACCAGCTCGATGCATACTGCCGCGTGTGCTGTCCCGCGCGGGCGCGGGCATCGAAATTTGGGAAACCAAAAGGTACTGATACCTTTACTCCCCAGACCTCTCCCGAGGTACGCTCTGACCAAAATTTCAAGGAGAAACCAGCGGTGGCGACGAAAGACTACCCAGAGGCCCACAAAGCCATAAAACGATGTAAAGGTCCCCTCTCAGAGCTGGCCTGGCACACGGCCGTCGTTGTCCACCCTTCGCGGCGAGGCATCCTGAACTGGGGCAGACGGGGGTCCAGCGGGCACGCGTAGAGGACGTGCAGCTCTACCTGAGGGACGGATAGGCATAGGGAGGATGCATCGATCTCGAATGGCCGATACATCGCCCATGCATCGGCGATACATCGTCGATGCAGACGCCACATGTATCGCCTATGCATCGTCGATGCATCGCTCTGACATCCACGGTGCATCGTCGATGCATCGTCGATGTGTCAACTCTTCGAGAAGTCGATGCATCACCCCCCCCCACGTGTGCCCATCCTCCCCGCACCGTTGCTCCCGACCACCGCCCCCGCGGCGCTGGCGCTGGGGCTGCCAGCGGAGGAGGGCGCCCCGCCCGGGCTGGCCGCGTGCGGCTCCGGGGGCGGCGGCTGCAGCCACTCGCGCGACCGGCTCCGCTCGCGCACGAGCCCTGGCAGGAGGCAGAAGAGAGAGCACCCTCGTCTCTTGCTATCGCTCGGACGTCCATGCCACGTGCAGTGTTTGGTGTCGCGCGTGCGTTCTGCGCTCCATACGGTCCAAGATTCATCTGGCGCTGGCCTCGTCGAGCAAAGCGCACACGTCCGATCGAAGCCAAAAAAATAGGCACCCCGACAAGCGAACCCGTTTGGTAAACGCGCCCAGGGGGGAGGACTCAAACAGGGCAGAGCTGTGTCGTAAACGCCCAGAACCGTTTATGGAGGCCTCCCTAATAACGTCCGAGAAGATGGGTCGGAGGATCGGGCCGCATCATCGATGCATCGACGATGCATCGGCGATGCAACGGCGACGTCGGCGACGCATCGGCGACGTTGGCGTGGCGAGGATCGGCCTCCGACCGGCCATGCATCGGCGAGATCCTGCAACCCCATCTGCTGGGACCCCCTCTGGGAGGCCTGGAGCTTGGCAGCAGCCCACTGGAGCGTGGCGGGGCTGCCGCAGCTGGCCGAGGTGTGCGCGCAGCTCGAGAAGGCCGAGGCCGAGGGGGCCGAGGGCCCCGTCGGCTGTTAGGGGCAGGGGAGGAGGAGGAGGAGGAGGAGGAGGAGGAGGAGGAGGAGGAGAGGAGGAGGAGGAGGAGGTGGAGGTGTCGGGGTGGGTTTGTCCTCCGATTGGCCATGGGTGGGGCGCATGGCTTGCCCACGCGGGCCCCCCCGCCGCGCGCTCGCGCGCGCGCGCCCGCCGGGGCGCCCGGGCCTGCGGCGGGTCGCGAGGCGGCTGGCGTCCAGGGCGGGGGTGGCAGGAAAGGGCAGGGCAACGCGGAGGCGAGAGGGGGGGGGGGGGGAGCTGGCAGGGCACCGGGGAGGGGATCGGAAGGGGAGAGAGGGGGCGGGAGGGGGGGGGGGAGGGAGGAGGCGAGGGCGGGGCAGAACAGGGGAGGAGTGGAGAGAGGGAGGGGAAGGGAGGGAAAGGGAGGGAGAGGGGGAGGAGGGCAGTGGGGTGAGGGGTGGAGGGGGAGGGGAGAAGGGGGCAGGAAGGCGGCAGGAAGGGGGCAGAGGGAAAGGGGAAGGGGGCAGAGGGGAGAGGGAGACGAGGGGAAGGGAGGGCTGGGAAACATGAAGGGGAAACGTATGGAGAAAGAGGGACGGGAAGGAAGGACAGGGAAGGCAGCGGAAGGGGCGTGCAGATGAAGCGACGGGAGGACAGGCAGGGAAAGAGGAGAGATGAGGTGGCCTCCTTCGGCCCCCCATCATCATCATCATCATCATCATCATCATCATCATCATCATCATCATCATCATCATCATCATCATCATCATCATCATCATCATCATCATCACATCATCATCATCATGCATCATCGCCATCCATCATCTCATCCATCCTCATCATCATCTCATCATCATCGTCATTCATCATCTCATAATCATCATCATCTCATCATCATCATCATCTCGTCTCATCATCATCATCATCATCATCATCATCCATCCTCATCCTCATCCCACATCATCATCATCTCTCGGCATCTCGCTCGTCATCGTCATCGTCATCGTCATCGGCTCATCCTCATCATCAGCAGCACATCATCCTCATCATCAGCATCATCATCAGCATCATCATCATCAGCAGCAGCATCAGCATCAGCATCACATCAGCATCACATCAGCATCAGCATCATTATCATCAGCAGCAGCATCATCAGCAGCATCAGCATCATCGTCATCAGCATCATCATCAACATTTTCATCATCATCATCAGCAGCAGCAGCATCATCAGCATCAGCAGCAGCAGCATCATCATCATCATCCTCATCATCATACTCATCATCATCAGCAGCATCAGCATCATCGTCATCAGCATCATCATCACCATCATCAGCTGCATAATCATCGCCACCACCATCATCATCAGCATCATCATCAGCACCATCAGCATCATCATCATCATCATCAGCAGCAGCAGCATCCTCATCATCACCATCATCATCAGCAGCAGCATCATCATCGTCATCATCGTCACCATCATCATGAACAGCATCAGCAGCATCATCGTCATCGTGATCATCATTATCCTCATAATCCATATCCTCATCATCAGCATCATCATCATCCCACCTCCTCATGCTCCTGCCTCCTCGTTATCCTTCTCCTGTGCCCCTGTTCCTTATGCGTAGCTCCTCCCTGGCGCAAGCACCATGCATGCTTGTACACTGGCCTGGCCAGGGCGTTTCGCTTGAGGTGCCCTTGCCATCTCCTGCCCCGAAGCCTTTTTCCTCCATCCTCTTCCTCGGCATTATCATAATGATTTTTCCTACTCCTTCGAACAAAAATTAACAGGCGAAGAACGGTATAACATAAACTGTTTCGCTGTCGGGGCGCCTGCCCCAGGGCGACAGGAAAGTTTATACCCTTACGGTGGCGCGTCAAAATATAAAATGTTCCAGCCGCCCTGGGGCAGCGCCCCCGGCGACGGAAAAATTGATTGTGTACGGTTCTTCCCCTGCTAAAAAAGGCTGTCCCATGTTTGTTCCACTGCATGCTCTTGCTCTTCCCGGATCAGGGCAGCTCGACTGGGCATCGTTTCTACATGGGCCGTAAGGGACGGAACACCACTTCCGAGCGACACCTGCGCGAAGCGTGGGGGAATGGCGAACGAAACGTCTCCAGCGACGCGACGCCAAAGGCACTGGGTGGGGGAGCACACAGCGTCAAACATTGAAGACGGCAACTGTAATTTCCAACGAAAGGTGAAACGCCCTGGGAGCTGGCACAGTTAAACAATGAAGGAAAGCCCTGGCGCTGCACAGGGCTCTTGCATCGACTACGCCAACACAATATCCTCGGCCCAAGATCACAGAAACGATTCCATGGCCCATTCACGCAATATCTGCTACGGCGGAAGAAATGCCTGACGGATTTTTGCCGCCCATTGCCTGAGAATCCCCCGCTAGATCCTGGAGGACACGTCCCGCTGGAGGAGTCATAGCGTCCTTGTGGTCGTCCTCCCCCAGCAGACCCCAGACTGCAAACCCTGCCTGCCCTTAAAAGATTCACTACAAATTCAAATAATCCGTGCCACATCGGGTATGTCTTTGAGCGACTTTCAGTTCAACCTGATCCAAAGCAGCCCAATCTGGAGTCCCGATGGCATGTCTTGACACAGCGTGACCATCCAGCTCGCTTCTCTGCCCAAGACCCCGTGACATTGATGCCGACAAGATACATTTCTGCTCAAGAAATGCCCACTCCGGCGTGCTCAGCCTGCACGCGGAACAACGCCTCTTCAGCGCGCACCCTTCGGATAACATAATCAGAACATGCTTGCCTGGTTTCATCAAACCGAACCTCTCACCATGGACGTTTTGCAAATGGGGAATGCCAGTGGCAGCCGCGCCCCCGGCCCCCGCCGAAACCGAGCTCCCAAACGTCGGATGTGGCGCCTGCCAACCCGGAAGATACGTCGGGCTTGGCGTCGGGCGGGGCGTCGGGAAGGGCATCGGGAAAGCCGTCGGGAATGTCGTCGGGAAAGCCGTCGGGAATGTCGTCGGGACGCCGTCGGGTAGGGCGTCGGGAAAGACGTCGGGTAGGGCGTCGGGAAAGACGTGGGGTAGGGCGTCGTGGAAGCCGTCGGGTAAGGCGTCGGGCTGGGTATTCCTACGCAAATGTCTGGGTATATCATTACAGAACCACACAAAGAATCTGATTGCGATTTTCACGTCGTCCATCATTGCCGCGGGCGGTGGGCGGGGAACGGGCCCCGGGCCCGGCGGGGCGAACAAGCCAGCGAACCACAGCGGGGGGCCCACAAGCCGAGCGAGGGGAGCAGGGAAAGCGGGGGCAGAAGCGACCAATATTTCGGATACGCCATTTCGGGTGCAAATTACCATGAAATAAACGCGTGGAACATCGGAAACGATGTTACATCATCGGTCGGCCCAACGACTGGGACAGCATCCGAAATGTAACCGCGGGGTTCCGACATCCATGCGCCGATTGTTTACATACATAAAAAACAAACAAACAAACAAACAAACAAACAAACAAACAAACAAACAAACATACAAACATACAAACATACAAACATACAAACATACAAACATACATACATACATACATACATACATACATACATACATACATACATACATACATACACGCATGCATACGTACATATGTACATACAAATACAGAATACAGGTTTGCATGCACGCACGCATGCATGCACGCATTCAAATACACATACATGACGTGCGACCATACATACATGCATACATGCGTACATACAGCAAATGTATACATACATGCATCCGTGCATGCATACATACGTACACACATATCGACAGACAGACAGACAGACAGACAGACAGACAGACAGACAGACAGACAGACAGACAGACATATAGACAAATAGACAGGCATACAGACAGACAGACAGGCAAACAGACGGACAGACAGATGTGTATGTATACATAGTTATATATATATATATGTATAGGTACTCGCGCGCAGGTTCTAGCAGCTACGCCATGGTTCTCGTTTTCGCTCGTGTCATGGGCGGCGCTGCGAATCACTCCGCATGAAGGTTTTGCGGAGCCTCCGTCCGCCTCGGCCCTCTCCTGTCCTCGCCCCTTTCGGTCATCGCCGTCGTCGTGGGCCTCGTCCTCCTCCTCCTCCTCCACTTCCTCCTCCTCCCATCTATTCTCTCCTCCCTCCGTGGTTCTCCCCTTCCCATTCCCTGCTCCCTCTTTGCTCCGCTGTGGTCCTCCTGCTCCTCCCCTGTTGCTCCAGCTGTCCTCCTCATGACTCGCCTCCTCCTCCCTTGCTCCCCGTGCCCCTGATCCGGCATCTTGGATGTGTCGTGGGGGTCTCTCGACGGCCTCTTGTTGGAGACTTCGTGACAATCTTCTGTGCTGCCTGGGAGGGCTATGCGGGCCCTCGTGGAAACTTCCTCCCTTTTCCTCCCTCATACTCTCTGCTCATCCTCCTCATCCT